TGGCAAAAACTTTGCCAAAGACTGTCGCGTCATTTTTCAGCAGATGCGCGAGGACACGCCAGCCTCGGAAGCCAACACGAAAGTCATGCTTTCCTCCTGCCAGACGTCGCTGGTCGCCGGTCAGGCGTCGAGCGAGGCCGGCCACTCGGAGCCGGTACCACCAGCACCAGCCGCGCTCGACCGGCTCGACACGAAAGCGGCCTCGGAATCGCCGAACGCGTCTCAATCGGTCGTCTGCTCGTCGAGCCGCCTCACGCGTCTTCTCACCGAGTGGCCACAGTCGGCCAGCCTCGAGGCGGCAGTCGAGGCCGCGACCGAGGCTGAAGCCGAGGCTGAGGCCGGCCTCGGGCCGACCGGCGTTGCGGATCCTGCGCCGGTGAGCAAAGCGGAAGACGAGATCACGGTCGGCGTGAATGACGATTCTGCGTCGTGGAGCGACACGATCGAGGAACCCTCGGCTGCCGGGTTTGAAGGCTCGGGCGAATCGGTAGATCCGGTCTCGGGAAGGCCAACCGAGCGGCGCGGACAACGGCGAGCCGCCGGAACAAGGTCCACACGAGGCAGCCCCGCACGTATCGGCCTGCTTCATGAGCACCAACAGCATCAGCAACTTCAGGAAGCGCAGGCGAAAGTGGAGGCGATGATGTTTGGCGTGGAATTTCTCGATCAGAACAAAGAGCCTCTCGAGGTGGCTTGCATCGACCAGGAGGTCGTCTGGCAGAAGGAGGCCTGTATTGAAAACGAGTTCACACACCAAGTGGGTTTTTGTGCTCACTCAACAGTCACTAACCCACCCTCAGGCTAAATCGGAGTCCCTATCCTCTGGAACAGTCTCTATTCTGAGCTTCAAGTGTGACTCGATCTTCCATTTCGCGGAAAAGTTGGTTGGAAGCAAGTGATGAATGAGGACTGTCAAGAAGCTCTCGCCTCATCGTTCTTCTCCCCTTAGATCCATATGTGTTGGGCTCTTGTCTGTCATGTGACGGACGTTTGTCGAAACCAAAAAGCACACAAGGCGTAACAATATACAAAACGAAAATGGAGCTGTAGTGTCGATGTACACAAATGTTCCAGTTAATGGGGGTAACAGAGAAATAGAGTTAACTATGGGGTGGCATAGGAAAATGATACTGGATAAAATGTTAGACGAAGCTTCAATTATTGGAATAATTAATTGAGTCACAAACCTACACTTGTATGGACTGCTCATTGTTCATGAAGAGACTCTCATTTCATATGAAATGTTTTGCTGAAGAGCTTCGTTTGACCTTGTTTTCGCAACTCGGTCATATTGGTAGGAAGACTTATTGGAACGCACCTAGTCCGGGGTCCATTGTCTGCATGATCATTCGT